CACTGCCGAGCCCCATGAGGGGCCCGGCGGTGGACCTGCAAGGCCGGCGGGAGTGCAAGGAAGCCCCGCGAAGGCCCTCCCTGGCCCCAGGCAGGCAGGGGTGGGGAGAGGCAGGGAGGAAGCAACTTACCCTCCCTCTTCTCCTGCCTCCTCCTGGCTGAATGAGGGCCGGAAGCGGAGCAGCCGGAAGCAGGGGGCGGAGCTTCGTCATGTGCCCCGCCCCCTGTACCTCACCTGGGGGAACTGCGATCCCCCCCGAAATGACCTCTGTGGGGTGGACTGTCTGGCATCGACCAGAGCCTGGGCTTTTTTCCATTGTGGCTTTGGCTTTGTGGAATGAGCTCCCTGAAGAGTAACCCTATTGGACTCCGTCTTACAGGTAACATCTGGATTTTGATCCACTGCTTGTAATTGCAGTTACTTTAGACTTAGAGTTTCATTATTTTTAGCCTCACTGTTCACTGCTCTTCTATTGACTCTCCCTGCAGAATTTTATAACGAAACACTTCTATTTTGTGGTGCTCTTGAATTCGGGAGGCTTCACTCTGAATCCAGTACTTTAGCCCTCATTGGCAGGGCTTTTGAAGAGATTTGAATTGCAAGCATCTTTCCAGGAGGGAGCGAGCATGATATTACGAGCTTGTTATTTCATTCTGGTCTTAACTGGAAATGGTTTCCAACTACTATTGTAAGCCACCTTGGACCGCGAGGAAAGATGGGGGTACAAATGTTTTAATCTTCGTCATATAAAAACGTGACAGACTGGATTGGAAGTCCAAGAGACACCATGAAAAGTATAGGTGGGTCATTAATGATGGAGGAAGTAAGGATGGAGGACTCGGGAGTTGTCATGTGACCTGCTGAGGAACACAGACTTATGGGATGCGATCTATAACCAGCAGTGTCAGGATACCAAGCCCTTAGGAGGAAAGGCTGAGGGACGTGGGAATGTTCAGTCTGGAGAAGAGGAGGTGGAGGGGGGGGGCAGAATTGTTCTCTTTAGGTATCTGAAGGGTTGTCACTTATAGGAGGAGGGCAGGGAGCTGTTCCTGTTGGCAGCAGAGGAGAGGACTCGCAATCATGGGTTTAAATTAAGGGCGGGAAGGTACCAGCTGGATATTAGGAAAAAACTTTTTGACAGAGTTGTGCCACAGTGGAATCAGCTGCCTCGGGAGGTGGTGAGCTCCCCCTCCCTGGCCGTCTTTAAGCAGCGGCTGGACAACCACTGGTCAGGGATGCTCTAGGGTGGTCCTACATTGAGCTGGGGGTTGGACTAGATGGCCTGTAGGGCCCCTTCCAACTCTGTGATTCTCTGATACATCTGGAGAAGAGCCTGTCTAAGCACTGGGTGAACGAACATCTGGGTAAACCCTTTATTTATTAGATTTATACCCCGCCCTGACCCCAAAATGGGCCCAGGGCGGCTCACCCCATAAATCAACAAACAATAAAAACAATAAATAGCAATAGCCGCTAAACCCAAAACCCATGCCTTGTGAAATAATTGCCCTAAGACATTCCAGTGCCCAAGTACGCGAAGCATCAAATTGCGTTGCAGGCCATATGGAGAACAGGGACGATGGTGGTATATTTCAATCAGGGCTTCAGTTTGGAATACCTTGTTTTCTTCAGCCTTCTGTTTAGAGGAGACAAAAAATCAACAACCCTGTCTGCTGTACACCTAGAGGAAACTCTTGACTCATTGCTCAAGTGGATAGTGACTGGATCTTAAAGCGAGTCAGAACTTTACCTCTCACGGGTATTTTTGACATGGGCTCCTCATTAGATGCCATCTCAGACGCTGTCAAGCTGTCAAGTATTTTTTCCCTGAGCAAAAAGCTGGTTTTATGTAGTCCTGAACAGCTGCGGTTTACTAATTCCAGTGAGCATTAATGCCTGTTAGCATCTTAAGGAGGCCAGGAAATTTCCTGTGAGACATGGACCCTTTCATTTGACTGGGAAGAAGAGAAATAATTTCCAGCTATTAAATTGGTCTTGTGACACCCACTTATATGGAAGTAACAACTCTCTCTGCTTCTTAAATCAAATCTTTAGTATGGGGGTGACACTCCACACCAAGGAAATCAACTGTTCTGGTAATATTTGCTCCCTAGTCGGGACAAAAGCTGCCGGTAACCTAAGCCAAAATTTCTGAAACATCCAAATTGCTAGTTTCAATCCCAAAGTTTGATCCCTGCAATGTCAGTGTTTAATTTCAGATGTCAATTTTTTAAAAACGAAAAGAGAAGAATCCAGCGGGAAATCTTGAATCAGAGTAACAGGATGGAAGAAATAATAATATTTTCTAAGCCCTAGCAACAGGAAAAAATCAGAGTTCTGAAAGGAAAATTGAGGGCAATTTCACACACAGGACAAAACCCAATGTTCCAAAGGTTGAGAAATGTTGAAAAATGGGGACTGATTCAGAATAAGTGGCTTGAAGACAGCTGGTTACCGCTTGTGGCTCTTAGCTAACGTTTTCATATTAAGGTACAGAATCCAAATTGCAACACCCACCCACCCACCGCCCCTGGTGACAACAGACAGAGTAAGCAAGGATTACGTAGCCCTGTAAAAGAAAGGACATTGAAGACAGCAGTTTCAATTAGGACAACGTTAGATGGGGGAAATGAAGCTGGAGGAATTTGGGGTGTCGAAATATCAAGCGGAAATGTGCATGGCAGAGATATTTCCCGTTATGAATGGATCCGGATGCATCGTGACGTGATGATGCGTGTTGGGAAAGAGACAGATGGAAACACGGATGAACAACGACCGACTCTAGAATGCACGACAGAGTGGGAAAGCACAGGAGCGTGGCAATGTTGGGAGGGAAAGAAAGAGCAGGTCTTTCTCAGGAGTTCAATGAGGTTATGAGGGCAGATGTCTGGGATTTCAGAGGCAGAGACAGAGGACTCACAACAAAGGACAACACACCAATCGTACCTTCGCTGGCTCCTTTGCCTTTCCTGTCAGGTAATTCTAACCCCGTGCCCCCTGAGGAATACAAGGAGATGTCCGTGGGCACTGGCCAACTGCTGGCCGTATCTTCCGTGATCTCATACATCTGCCCGTCCATCGGCTGCAGGTGCCAGTTTAGGCCAAACAGGTGCATGGCTGTGGTGAGCAATGAGAAAAGTCATCTTTTGGGGGCTTTTGCTTCTCAGCTGAGGAGAATTTTCGAAAGGTAAAGAGCGGCGTTTACTAATACTCCCGTTCGGCTCCCGGGGCGCCAACCCTGCTCGCTATTGGATACAGCTGAAGGAAACGGTTTTGACCCGTAAACGCCTCACGGGCTCGGGTTTAATATTTCTAAAAGGGTATCTCCTCCCTCGTGCCCAACCACAATCTGTAAGTATGAGTGACCATAACTGGACAACGAAGGAAAGTTATACTAGCAGCTGCCCCGTCACTGCAGAGTTCTCTTGCTACGGAGATCCACAGACTTGGAATCGGAGCTTTCTTCAGACAAGATCCTCTGCTTGGGCAGGCAGGGTCCAAGGGAGTAACTGCATATTGTCTTAGGAAAACAAATGCTCCAAAATCTGCAATAAATGTAGGGGTAGGCACATGAAAGAGACACCTGACAGACCAAAGAGAGGGTGATTTAACTGCTCACCCCTTGATTTTTCTCCCAAATTCCTGTGCCCGATTTCCCCCCCAATTGGTATTATTTCTAGGTATGGAAGCCAAAATGGGGAACAAGACATTCTGAAGTGTCTGTCGGATGGGAGGGGGCAGCTATTTGCAGGAAGATTTGGCATGGGGAAGAATGGTTACGTCTACCAATTGTTCTCCTGCAATCCCCACCCCCACAATTGGGACTGGGATCTTTGTGTTTGATTTACATGGTATCCTAAACCCGTCGGGAGTGAAGTCGTGTTAGCATTCGATATACATTTTAAAAATTAATATTCTGATTATGCTTCATACATTGTCAACAGACATTTTACACTAAACATAACCAACCAAAACGGTAAGAACAACCAACCACATAAATGTACCTATTTATCAGACTTATTTTTTTTAACAGACTGGCTTTAATTGAAATATTTTTTAAAATCCCCTTTAGATCAGTCGGGGGAAGACCGGTCGTGGTTAGCCAAGAACGCTACATACTTCTAGGCTCACTGTCTTGGCTTTAGAAAAGAGCAAGAGTCCTGAAGCACCTTAAAGACTAACAAAATTTGTGGCAGGGTATGAAGGAGGAGGAGGAGGAGGAGGAGATTGGATTTATATACCCTGCTTTTCCGTGCCATAAGGAGTCTCGGAGCAGCTTACAATCTCCTTTCCCTTTCCCTCCCCACAACAGACATCCTGTGAGGTAGGTGGGGCTGAGAGAGCTCTCTCGAGGACTGTCCTTGAGAGAACAGCTCTGAAAGAACTTGTAACTGACCCAAGGTCCCACCAGCAGCTACATGTGGAGGAGTGGGGAATCAAACCCGCTTCTCCCAGATTAGAGTCCGCACTGCTAACCACTACACCAAACTGGCTTCCATGAGTCCCTTCTCACTTCTTCAGATACCCTCAGGCATCTGAAAAAGTGAGCCGTCATTAAAGTTCATACCCTGCCACAAATTTTGTTAGTCTTTAAGGTGCTACGGGACTCTTGCTGTTTCCTGTTGCTACAGACAGATTAACAGGGCTGCCCATCTTGTCTTAGCTTTGAAAGTACTTTATATTCATTTTGCTTCGAAGACCACTGTGGAGCAAGCCACCTCCTGCCATGAGGATCTGCTCCCATATCACTACAGTCGACACTTCAATGTGACTCTTTTTGCTACACCATAAGGATAAGGAGTGTGGGTCACGTAGAAGAAATGGATAACATGTCCGCTTCTTACACCAGCGTGGTCCCAGCAGACACAGGAAGTAATTGTGGAGGCCCCTCCCACACGAGCTGGAAGTTCCTTTTCTGCTCATTAGTGCTTCTTGTGACAGAAAGGTAAGACAGGGGTGAGCCCTGGGCTGTGGACCCACACCATGCCAAAAAGGTAACACAGGAAGAGTCTAGAAGTTTCTAGCAGTCCCAGGTAATGGGACCATGGAATCATGACACTGTCCCAACTTAAATTCCTTTCTAACAGTCATGGAGGTCTCATAATGTACCTGGTACCTGCTATCACAAGAAGGAAGCTTTGACTCTCAAAAGAATACCCCGGAAATCTCGTCAGTCTCTACAATGCCACGAGACTCGAATCTAGTCCCATAATGTACAACATCCCATAATGTACAACATCCGTAATCCTTCTGGGAACCCATCTGTGCGGGACGGCCTCCGCAGCGTCCCACAATCATGCAAGTGATGGTGGCCTCTTTCAAAAGTGGAGTGTCTAAAAATAAACTCCCTCAGTTTGGAAACCGCCAAGCCCTTCAGGTACAACCTGCAGGAGTCCTGATAGCGACAACTCCCTTCCCCACAACCGGATCCCTTTCCATCAACAGCCTGGGCTTTCCAAAACTCCTACGGGAGAATGAAGCGGGAGTAAGGTGGTAAAATGTCAAGGTGGTGGAGGGGACTGCTCCGTTTCTGGCAGTGGGCAGAAGATCACGGAGGTCCGAGTCCTGGAATGCTCCCCTATATCGAAAACATCCTGGGAACAGCAAAATCAGCCCAGGAATCAAAGAGAGGGGCTAGAATCCATCCGGTGTGCTAGTTATCCTCTCTGCACGAAGTTTTGTATGCGAAGGAATATTCAGAGTTGGAATTCACCACCACCGCTGGCAATCTGAAATGGTACAATTCATTTTACCACCTCAATTTTCTACCACCTCTTTTTTCTACCACTTCATTCCTTAGCTCTGTTCACAAGTTGCAGTGCACAATTGTAACAATCCGTGTACAGTATATGCTTGATTGCTCTTTATATACCTATCCAGTAATTCTTACGCTTAGTCAATGCATATACAACTGAACATATGACTGAAACTGCATTTAGCCAGGTACTGGGGGGAGAAGAAGGCGGAGGAGGAGGAGGAGGAGGAGAAGAGGGAGAAGAAGAAGAAGAAGAAGAAGAAGAAGGAGAAGAAGAAAAGGAAGAAGAAGAAGAGGAAGAGGAGATTGAATTTATACCCTGCCCTTCACTCAGAGTGGCTTAAAAACGCCTTCCCCTTCCCCTCCACACAACAGACACCCTGTGAGGTAGGTGAGGCTGAGAACTCTGACAGAAACAGCTCTTTCAAGAACAGCTGTGCCAGAACTATGGCTTGCCCAAGGTCATCCAGCAGCTGCAAGTGGAGGAGTGGGGAATCAAACCCGATTCTCCCAGACTAGAGTCTGTGCACTTAACCAGTACAACAAACTGGCTCTCCAGAAGAAGAAGATGATGAGGAGGAGTTGGTTTCATACCCTGCTCTTCACTACTCAAAGGAGTCTCAGGGTGGCTTACAATCTCCTTCCCTTCCCCTCCCTACAACAGATCCCCTGTGAGTTGGGTGGGGCTAAGAGAGTTCTGAGAGAACTGTGACTGGCCCAAGGTCACCCAGCTGGCATCACGTGGAGGAGTGCAGAATCAAACCCAGTTCTCCACATCAGAGTCCGCCGCTCTTAACCACTACACTATACTGGTTAAGTGAACACACAGACATGTGCGCTGTTCATAGGTTCACTATAATAAGGGCTCGCGTCATGAATAAACCAGGCCTTATTCTGTTCAGTCAGTTGGGTGTTCTTGAAAGAGCTCTCTCAGCCTCACCGACCTTGTGGGGAGGGGAAGGGAAAGGAGTTTGTAAGCCGCTCTGAGACTCCGAGTGAAGGGCGGGGTATAAATCCAATCTCCTTCTTCTCTTCCTCCTCCTCTTCTTCTTCTTCTTGATGGGAGGGAAGACTATCTGCAGGGATGGGTCTTACCGATGGAGGGTGCCGGCTTAAGCCCTAGAATCACTTTTATTTCTAATTGAAGGCACAGGGAATGTCCTTCCCAGTTCTTCCAAGCTGAATCAACTGAGGCAGGAAGGACTGGAAGCTACAATTACCATGGTTCTTGGTGGCAACAGACAACACAGGTTAGTAACACAGAGGCCTGCAGACTCCAGAAATACCATCAAGAGTGCAACAGGACCTTAGCTAGGGATGCCAGCCTCCAGGTGGGACCATGGTTCTTGGTGGCAACAGACAACACAGGTTAGTAACAGAGAGGCCTCCAGACTCCGGAAATACCATCAAGAGTACAACAGGACCTTAGCTAGGGATGCCAGCCTCCAGGTGGGACCTGGGAATCTCCCAGAATTACAGCTCATCTCCAGACTGCAGAGACCCGTTCCCCCTGGAGAAAATGGATGCTTTGGAGGGTGGAGTCTGTCTCATTGTACCCCACTGAGGCCTCTGTCCCCCCCCCCCAGGCTCCATCCCCAAATCTCCAGGAGTTTCCCAACCTGGATCTAGCAAACCTACCCCCACAGCCCCATCCCACCAGTGGTTAGGAGAGACCTAGCAACCTTAAGGTCTTAGCTCAAAAGGCAAATGAACTTCAATGGCAAGTGATGCTCTGTCTTCTTGGTGCTTGGGGGGGGGGGGCCAACAGTGGGAGGGCTTCTAATGTCCTGGCCTCCTGATGGCACCTGGTATTTCTGGCCACTGTGTGACACAGAGTGTTGGACGGGATGGGCCTTTGGCCTGATCCAACACTGGCTTCTCTTATGTTCTTATGTAATGAACTCATTAATTTTATTCTAACCGCTGAGCTAATCTTTGGGAGCTAATTGTGGCTGAAAAGGGCAATACGAACTTTAAAATTTACAATAATCTGGCCCTAATCCAAACGAGGCAGAAATTAACTGTTGTGGGCAGGCTGCTCTGAAAGATTTACCCATCTCTTCTTATAGGTCGACCGTACAGAGCAAAAACAAGACCACCGAAGGAGGAGAACAACGGCTAACCCTTTCCGGCGTGTTACCCTTCCACCGCATG